TAAGGAATATTCTTTCATTCTTTCTTGCTTTTTTGTTTTTTCTAAGTTATTTAATTTTTTATGTGTTTATTTAAGGTTGGTCTTGTAGGCCGACTGATGAGACCATCTTTGCCTTGTCTTTGCCAGCAGGGTACTTATTGTCTCCTCTAGACCCATAGTCATTAGAACCGGAATCGCTCCGCTTGCTGTTTGCGCTATGCTTGGTTGGCGTGCCGGGGGGGTGGCTCACCTGCCCGTTCTTCTCGTCTGAAAAAAGTTGTTTAATTACGTCAAAGAAGTTACTCAATGGGCTGCCTGGGTACACAAAACAGAGGAGACAAAAAAAGAAAGAAAGAAAGAAAGAAAAAAAAAAAAACGAGAGGGAAAGGGAGGGAAAAAGAGGAGAGAAAGAGAGAGAACAAACAAACAAATGAACAATGGGGTTTTTAACGAGAAGAACATGATGAGGAGATCCAGAGCCACGTGCGTGGGGGTGTGTGGGGGATGAAGACAATGAGCAGGAAGAGGAAGAGTGTTTAGGATGGGACACCTACAGAAATAAAGAGGCTGGGAGCATAAAGCACCTAGGGGGAAGGTCCTGGTTTTCTCCTGAGTGGGGGAGCATTGCTGTCTCACCTAGCAGGAGGACACAATACTGTGTGACTGAAATAGTTCAGTCTATTACTTGGAGTCACTTGGCCACTCCGCACTGAAGTGTCAGTGAATGTAATGCAAATCCCATTTTACTGCTGCTGTTACGAACATGGGGTATTTGTATGTGGTTGCCAATTGATGCTTTGCTTTGCAGCCTTGCTAAGTTCTCTGGCTACTCTGAGCATTAGGCTTTCTTTGCTTGCGTTTTATTTCTTTCTGAGTATCTCCTTGCTCACCTTTCAGTCACTAAGCCTGAAGCACCTGAGTGCTCCAAGGGAAACAGCACTTGAAAAATGAGCTACAGCTGACGTGAGTATTGCCATCTGCGTGTGTGGTTTGTGGCTTGTACTTAGAGGCTTCTAAGCACCTTCAGATCCTTCTTACAACAGGTACCTGGAAATGAAGATGCTGAGTGCATTGTGGAAGCAAGCTGTTATACAGCTAACTATTTCTGGGACCTATCAGGATCAAGAACTACTTCCTCATTGTCCTAAATTTATGTTCTCTCTACAATACAGCCTCCATGACATTGATGTTCACTTCAGTGGAGGGATGTACGGTTGTATGCTAGTAGAACAGGTATCTCATTAGAGCAGGTTGCAGTATTAACATGGGTTGGGCACTGTGCACATGAATACAATCTTTCATGCCATTTGGACCTCCAGGCAGCAGGTTGTAAGCTGTTTATCTAGTCCTGTGTCAGAGGATGTGTGGAAGGCCATACCTGAGGAAAGGCTCTGGGGTGCTACCAAGGGAAAGGGACCAGATACTACTGGAAAGGTAGCCTTTTGGGGGCATTTCTAGTCCCTTTTAATTTTCTTGGATTTGGGGATTAATCCTGATCAGACATAGGAGGGGTCACGCTAAGTTCTCTGAACATGGATATTGAAGGTGTTTTTTTATCTAACATACACCATGGATGTGATGCCTGTTCGTGATCATTAAAACCCCATGATGCTTTTCTCAGTATTGGGACAGTTGCCTCCATTGTTCTAACAAATTCAAATAATTTCTATCTCACCTAAGTAATTTCATTTGCCAGCTTCCAGAAGGAAATGGGCTACTTGTATCTGCCTTCCAATGCTGTGGTATGCTGTGAAGAGTGGAACCTTGCGTCCCCAAGGTGGGAACATGCAGTTGGGAGCAAAGGGGTTTCTTCATAGCAGAGATCGCCATTTATCCACAGTTGGTGGACACTGGTGGTTTGGTAATATTATATTTCCCTTCACTTTCATTACAAACATAAGCAAACCAGTTACTACAGCAGGCAGGTACTTTCTGTGCACAGTAACGTGTGAAGAGCTTGTTGAGTGCTTTCTTATTCTCTAATGGAAAACACTAGACAGACATCAACTGCTCTTATACAAAGAAAGAGGAAGTACGTAGCATTTGTGCCCTGCAAAACTGAATGTGTTACTCTTTTTTCCCTGCCCCGTGCTAACCAGGTAGTTGCTGCTTTCCTCTGCATGTTAAGAGGCATTGAGAAAAATCAAATGGCTGGCATATACAGTGAAGGATCTCATTAATCTAATTCATTCCTTGTCTTCCTCTACTTGCTGCTTTGTGGTTAACTTACTGCTGGCCTTGGTTGTCTGTGCATTCTGTTACACCAGTCCCACAAGCAAATGGCTATTAGTTTCTGGAAGGGCATCATTCACCTAACTGACTGAAGCCTTAGAGATGGGCCCAAACAAACAGCCAGGCAAAGCACGTATCTCAATTTCTGGCTAAGAAGAGAAGGGCTGTCAAACTCTCAGTTGTTCTGGGGTCAGGCTTCTGTGAGCTCTACCTGCTTCCTTCCACATGCATGCACATGCTTTGGAAGTGGGATATCTACTCCACATTTATGACTTTTATTTCAGACATTTCCCTAAGCGTCCCTAAAACTGTTTTAGGTATGTGGGCTCATGCTCTGCTCAGACTCATTTCTACTTCTTTTAGGTGGATACTCTTTTTCAATGAAAAGAAAGAAAAAAAGAAAGCAAACACTCAGCCTTGAATGCAGGAATGTGGGCAGATCTAGTTCTTATGTGGCTTTGGACCCCTCATCTTCATAAGCAAATGGAGTCAGCAGAGAGAATGAAAAAGAGCACTGAAAAAAATGCTGGAGAGGGAAAGACTGCTAGATTGGGAGAAAAGGGGAGGGGAATATCTCTAGTTACTCAGCTGAGCAGTTTATTCAACAAGGTTAGAGGGAAAGAAGAGGGCAGAGTAAGCAGGGCTCTGCAGGAATCGGGAAAGTTTTTTGTTTTCACGTAGACAGGAACAGTATACAAAAGTACAACTTGCAATAATGGAGCAATAAAACATTTTAAAAATTGTATTTATATATCTTGTATTTGCTGAGTCCTGATACAGGGTTTTTAATCATCCTATTAAAATATGCAGCCCCTGTTTCATCCACCCTTTCTCCTCCCCATGCCCTACTGGCTTTCAAGTGCCTGGAGATTTATTGCAGCAAAAGTATTTAACAGTCTGCTTTTCTTTGCCTTTATCACTACTGGATTCCTTACAATCAGCATTTTCAGGTAAAATTTTAATGGGAGGTAAGAAATCCTTAGGGATGTTTAAAGAGAGCTACTGAAAAATAAAATAGGCCATTTCACTAACCCTCTCCTTCCTGCCTTTCGTAGTGTCTGGACTTGTAATTAAATACTAGGTAATAATGCTCTCCTATCCTGCAGTCAAGAGAGAACTGATCCTACACCAAGCAATACAGACAATCACTGCACTGATGCTGTCTACATGTCAGCTTGTTAGCCCACTCTTGGGCTGGTCTAGATATTGGTCTTTGGATAGACAAGGGTTGGTCTAGATACTGGTCTTTGGATAGACAAAGAGTCCTCACATTTTTGTCTGGAGATATGTAAACCCAGGTCAGCTATGCTGGAAGCATGAAAATGGTGCGTGGTGTTGCTCCTCTTAATTCTCTGTTCCCTTTGGGCTTACACATCCAGTAAAACAAGACTTGAAAATGCAGGTGATGATGGATTAGAATAGCTTTTTCAGCAATCTTCCACTCCTGGCATTCAGTGCAAAATGTGTGATAGGATCTTACACCTGTAAGTCCATCTGGGGACCTCAAAAAGCCTGTCTCTCTCATTTCAGAAAGTGAGATGACATCCCATTTCCTCTGGACAGGGATGAAGGTTTGGCTCACTGATTCTTCAAAATTTCCCTGGTGTTTCATGCATCCATAACTAAGGTCTTCTTTCCCCTTGAGAGCAAATATTCATCAACACAGAGCAAAGAAGGGATGAAGGGTAGCGAGGGTGAGAAACCGTGAGAAGGATCAGAGGAAGGAGGAGAGGTTCAGAGCATTAGGTTTACATCTGTTGGGAGGAGATGGATATGTGCATTTTTGAGGTAGACCAAGGAGCTGTATGCTGCAAGATGGGGAAGGAGAATGGGTTTGAAAACAAGCACTGAAGCTTATGAAAGGGTCATGTATTGAAGGGGTGCTAGAGAAATATATTTATGGAGAAGGCACTACTTTGTGGCACCTGTGTGCAGGACTGTCACAACCAAATATCACAAAAGAAGTCAAAACTGTGAATGCATTTGAATACAACAGGCACTAAAAGGAAGAAACAGGGCTGGAGACAGACACAAAAATGTAAAAGGAGGCTGGGCAGGTGGCTTGTGTCAAACCTCACAGTCCTCAGTATTTCACCTGCTGTTCTTAGGAAGTCTGTCTGACATTGACCTGGCCCCAGTGGTGTCACAGGTTTGAGAAGCGCAAGTGGAGCACCCAGGTAAGAGAGGAAAGAGAAAATGAGGTGATGCACGCCAGGCACCAGAAGTGACACCAGGAAAGGATGCACCTTGCGAAGACCCTGCTCTGACCTTGCAAAAACTCTGCCCTGACCTTGCAAAGACCCTCAGAGTCTTCCATGGAAAATAACAGGAGGTGGTGAACAAGCACCTTCAGGACAGGCCTGGAGGCTTCAGTCACTGATTAGAGCCTGCTGTTTTGTAACATTTTAAGACAGTCAGATGCGGACTTCGTCCTTTTTGCATTGAAGCAAATAGCAACACTCCCATTGACTTAATGGAAGCAATCCCTGAGGCACTTCCTTCTTCTGTGAAACCATCTCTCTCAAGTCTATGTATTTTTAATGTACTAATCCTTGTGGTGCTGATCACAAAGTTGCACAAAACAAATATGCCATCTGTGGGATTATCCTCTGCCTTTCCTTTCTGTATAGCCTGAGAAATTTTGGGTTTCTGCATCTTTAGCTTAGGCTTTTGGAGAAAGTGAATGGGAAAAGAGAGGTCTCCACTGGAAACAGAGACATCCTTTGTCAACCTGACTTCCCATATTCCTTCCCTTGTTGCTTTCACATCCTTTCTGACTGTCTTCTGCCTGCCTCTGCTACTGAGGTTTTCCTCCTATACTCATTCCTTTCTCTTTAACCCCTTGTCTTGGATGTGTTTCATCCCTAGCTTGCTCTGTATTTCGATAGCAGCTGTGGTTTCAGTGAATGATATAACAAAAATCCAACTCCTTTCACATAAAGCATTGAAAAACTCTCTTGGTGGGTGATAATCCATTCCCTTTCAAACCCATGTCACTACTTCGACAGAGTTCTAGCCCTCTTTGTTAAGACTAG